TGGATCTACCTGGAAGAAGTTTTGGTTAGTCTCTGCTCAGAAAGAATCAATGAATCCCAAAGACACCTATCCTGTATCCTTTTTGAGCAGTTAAAGCGCCTTGAGTCTGAACAAGGGCCTTTTTGGGCAGTCGCTGGTTCAGTTGGTTTGAGAACATGATGGCTCAGCAGCGAGCACCAGCCTACCAAAATGATTCGAGAACAAGACCTTAGGCAGGCAAAGAAAAGGGCAGAGGAAAAGACAAGGCAGCTGGAGCCTGGCTCCTGAGCTCCTGAATGACAGGACCAGGGCCATAGAATACAACATCAGTTGCCCAGAAAGGAGTTTTTGGAAACACGAGCTTGTAGAGATGCTGCACAACTTTCTGAAGAATGATATGGCACCCATAGCTGCAAAAACAGGGAAGAAGAAACATGCCGACCGTTCTTGCATCAAAAAAGCCTTCAGTTCTGTCCTCAAAGACTCCTTCATTTCAAACCAAAAGGAGTTACCAAATCCCTTCTGTGAGCTGCGTATCTTGGGATCTTGCGGGAGTTGTTCCTCCGGGAGTTGTTCCTCCGTTTCGCAGTTTGAGGCTCTATGTCTCAGCCAATGAGGACATGTTGTCTCAACTTCCTTCTTCTGTAGCGTGGGGCATGGGGCATGCTCCCAAAAAGGGAGGCACTTGGCATGGATGCTCAGTGGACATTCCACGGTTGACTCAGGTATGTCTCCCTGCTTGTCACTGCCTGTGGCTATGAGAGAGAGGCAGCATTGGTTGTTGGCTGAGTTTTGTGTGTTTGAGGAATCATGTCTCAGGACGGGTACACTGCCACTGCTATAGAAAGTGTTCCATTGCTGCAGTCTGGAGTCATCAGCACATCTTCTCATGCCCATCCGCTAGAACCTACTATAAGCTGTGTACTAGTCACTAGATGTGTTCAATTGTTTTGATGGTTGAAGATCATTCTCTCGGTCTGGCACTTCTAGCCGGCACCCCACGCCAGCGTTTTGCTTTGAAATATCGATTGTCGACAATCCAAGCCCATTCAGAACATCTCAACCACCCAGCTATGCAAGTTCCGCAAGTAGCCTGCGTTCCGAAAGAACGTCGTTTGAAGGCCAGCGGGCGGCGTCCACACATGCGCCGTGAAGGTTCCAGGGCTTGGCGGTTGGCTGCATCGGGTGGGTTGGCTGGGTGTGAAATTTGTTAGGTCACTTCTTTTAAAAAAATATACAATATTATACAATGTGGAAAGGGATATTGATATTAATATAAAGTTTAGAGAAAGGGTTAGTGTGTCCTTCTTCAGGGAAACTTAAGGCTTGAACAGCATCCACCGCCACTAAGTTGCTCGTACCAGACATGGGTTCAAGATCGTTCATGTGCTCGTGAGCTTGGCCCCATGTAGATGGCAATCCCTGAGGGCCCTTACGTTGTCTCCCATATATAATATATAAATAGGTTAAAATACAGTTAGATACAATTAGCATCATCTAGAGAAAGTTTGATGATCAAATGTGGAAAGACATAATTATCCCTACTCATGTTCTTTCCATACCGACCCAGCCATTTGGTTTGGGGTGTTCAACGTGGGTAGATTTGTCAGTGGCCAGTGGAGTGGATATTCAATGTCGGTGACACAAGGGATAACCCAGCGGGAAGAGAAGCGAAAGCAGTCCCAGAAATGCTGATGTGATCGTCGACCATTTTGTTGTGACACTTCTGATGTGATTAGTTTGAGAGAGAAATTGTGATTTATGGAAGCAAGGACGCTACTAGGGGCTCCTGGCCTTACTAGGAGTATGCATGCTACTAGTAACAAGTGCATCGCTACTAGGAACAAGTGTCACTCTGTTGGGAAGCGGAAGTGAGCCGGTCGGCCGAGCCCGGACGAGCCTTCGCCAGGCGCCGGGGTCCTCGGTACAGGGCTCGCCGCTGGGCCCAAGGTCGGAGGGGTGGCACCGGAGGTGGTCCCGCCTTCGAAGCTCCCAAGTTCCACAAGAAGCAATAGCGTCTTTGCTCCGTTCGTAGCGATGCCAGGAGCCCCTAGTAGCTTCTTTTTCCTATCTAAGATGATCTAATTGCACTATATTGCACTCAAATGTGAGCAAAGGAGATCAGGCACCACTGATGCCGTGGTCAGAAGACATGCAAACTCAACCTCAAGCTAGTTCTCACAAGAGCCTTTCATGACATTCCAATGCTGTTTCCACTTGCTGTTGGCATCTTGGTCTACAAGATTATGTCTTGGTCTGCAAGATTATGTCTTGGAATTGTTGGAAATCTATTGGAGCAGGCAAGGCATGAGTCGATTGGAAACTTCATGTGACCACCCACGTAATCTGTGTCACTTCATTGAGGGAGGGCGCACCTGCCAACTAATTTGTGGCTCAACTTGGGAGATGACAAAACCCAGAGAAAGACATGGTGAAGTACGGAACATAGAAACTTGACATATTACTGTCGTATCGGGAAAAATATACGGATACATAAATTGCTCGAGGGCTGCCTCAGAGATTCGAAACATGCAAAACTGATAGGGGCCGACCCTCTGACCAATACCTCTTTGTACAGCCATGGTACCTCATGCCTGCAGTCCCATGTCAATCAACCGCTATTATGATGAGTATAGCACAAATCTCCGAGAGTAATGTAGTTGGAACAGGAAAAAGAGCCTTGTGACGCAGAGTGAATGGGCAGTTGGTGTGAGGGGTTGACCAGGGAGTTGACTCCAACAATTTATTGTGTTTGAAATAGAATACTTCCATCCCCCTATTAAGACCTTGAATTTGTTATCTAGAGAGAGGGCATCCAAGGTGTGAGACATGTGTTGGAGCTGCACAACATGGCATGGCATAGCATACACATAGGCCATCACAAGACTTCATATCCCTATGTTCGCTACGAACGGAGCACTTCGGGCATCGCTACGAACGGAGCAATCGGACGCTACGAAGCATCAGCTCCTGGCATCGCTAGGAGCGGAGCTTGCTACGAACGGAACAAGATGCCAGAGTCGGAACAGCTCTCTCCCTCCCTCTCTGTTTCCACGGAAGCCGTTCGTCCCACACTCTAGGCCCGGACAATCCGGGTCCTCGCCGAGAGCGGATCCACCGAGGATCTCGAGACTCGTCACTATCACGTAGACCCGAAGGGTCAGGCAATCTTCTGGCAGGAGGAGGACCGTTCGGTTTCGCTTGAGGTTTAGGTTTCATGGTATTGCTTCTTTGGGGATCTTTGGGGCACCCCTTCTTGGAAGAGTCCAAGAACATGTCTTCGACGTGTCCAAAATTCCTAGTCAGATTTCCTGCAGATCCCCATTTGGTGCATGCTTGGCGAATTAGTCATTCCCCCGCAGAGGGAAGGGATCAATCGATCGACCGTAGAATGGGTGAACCTCGGGCCAACGCGCCACTGACGCCGCCAGGACGTGTGCGAGACCTTGTGCCAAGCAGTGGATGCCTGGGACTCTCGGTTTGGGCTGGGCCAAAGTAATGGTCCCGAACTTTGCGTCCGATCACTCCTAGTAGCGATGCCAGGAGCCCCTAGTAGCGTCCGATTGCTCCTAGTAGTAAGGAGCTGGTTTATTTCCACTTGATGAGATGAGCCCAGTCAGGATGACCACTGGGTGCTAGCATTGACCTGATTGAAGTGGGTTGACAAGTCACATTGAGGCATACGGTTATGGCCTCTTTTGACTTGCATTTAGCTTACCCAAGCAAGGCTTGTATAGGCTTGTGGTGTCATTATGTCACCATATGTCATCAAAATGTCCCATCGGGACAGTAACAGCAAGGCGGCCCACAGGAGAAAAAATACACACCGGTCAAGCTCACCGTGGCCATCACACCGGTCAAGATCCCGATGATCCGGCGCAAGCTGCTGACTTCAAGCCGAAATCTCGCTGTGTCAGGTCCGGGTGAGACAAAGTTTAATGCTGAGCGCAGCAAAAAGATCAAAGCAGCTGCCGAGGCTAAGGCTAAGGAAGCCATCCTTGCACAAGACGACGTTGTGCTGGCAAGCAATGAAGCTGCCCCAATCAAGTTGATTTGCAAGTCGGCCTTTGATATGTAATGGGTGACACTAATACAGTGTTATCACTCAGGAAGAAATCACCATGGCGGATATAGTCCCAAGTGCTTGCAGGGTGCACATTAAGGCGGAGATCTGGAACCAGGCCATCCAAGAGGACACATCAGCTCCCTCTGCCCCACGCCAGCGGAGCATCCGGAAAAGCCCAGGTAGAGTTTCACTACGTCAGAAACTGTTGGGCCATGGGACACGTAAGGACGTGTGGCCATGCAGAAGCATCGATGCCAAAGCATATGTGCCGATGCCAACTTCTGCGTCACGGGTTCATTCTGTCAGGGGCAGCTGAGCGACAAGCGACGCAACATCGGGTGTTCTTTGGTGGTCCAGCTGTTGCTGGATTGGGAGAGGAGGGATCAGTTTGTGGTTGCCTTGGAGTCTATCGCAGAAGGGGTTCTGGCTTCAGCGGGAGCGGGTCATGTCAGGTGGAGCCATGTGTCATGTGTGTGGGAGGAAAACCGTCAGGATGTCCAAGCATAGGATCCTAGGACTCTCCCTGACGGACCTAAACTGAGGATCCGAAGGTGAGAACAGAGAGGGTTTCGGGTGCATCCGTGTAGGCTTTGCAGGCTCAACCCGTTTTCACATGCTTATATAAAGCGAATTTGCCAAACAGCTGTGGTCGAGTTCTCCCTGCAAGCATGGAATTTCGTGAGATTGTATCGGTGTGAAGCAACCTCCTTGTTGATAAGAGAGAATCCCTGTCTCCACCCACCTCAGATCTGTCCTTTCAGAATGATGGACCTAGTCACTTAGTCGAATCGATCAGTCCCTAGCACTGACATGTGTTTCTTGTTTTCGGAACCTTTTTTTTGTCTTCACTTACAAATGCCTCCGGAGGGATTTCTCTATCAGCAGTTCTCGCGTTGTTTGTCCCACGGTGCCCGACAGATCTCTTCGGTGCAGAAGACCTGCGGGGATCTCTCAAATGACACTGGGCGGAGGAATGTGGTGATTCGATGGTTGAGTGCTTGGGTGGAAGGGACCAGCGCAGCGCAACTGGCACTTTCGGACTATGAACTCAGGGGACGGTGGGACGGTGGGTCTGTGGTCATCCCACTGCCACTTGGTTGTGCATGACCTGAGGGCAAATGACGCTCTTCATTTTCAAGAGGGAAAGCATTTTCTCAGGGGGCCATGCCATCCACCTACGTTTTGGTGAATCAGAGTGGGCTAACCATCACGCACGGCTCTACTAGTCAAGTCACCGTTTATTTACGGCAAGTGCATCTAGGTTGTGGTTCCCCCAACTCCATGTAAGAATTTGTTTAAACACACATGTTAATTTCATACGTGTTTAAGTAAATAAGTTGCGATTGATGAAATCCATCTACTCTGACTGCAATGGTTTCAGTAATATGTGTTTTCATGCCCTTAAATGTCCATCCTTGCTCGCAGGATCCACCCACAAGACCTCTTTCTCCCAGACCCTTTGAAGATGTGGTCCAATGTCGAAGTCGTTTTTGGTGTGCTGAAGAGCTCCTGCACTAGCTTTCCATGAAACAAAACATGACAAAACACGAGTTTTCCATCAGAAAGCCCCATCCAGTGACCCAACTGGAGCCCCTGTGCTGAGGAAGAGTGTCACTTTGATGCAAGGGGGGCGGTGGGAGCTCGGGATCGGCTCGGCGAGCCAGTGCGAACACCACAATATCCTCAGCGGTAGAGGGTATCATTGCATTTGTTAACCGGTAGCTCAAAATGTGCGGGAGGCCCTGATTTTCCCATGTCTCAGGAAATTCGCAGGATGAGAAGATGACAGGATTCTGAGAAGGTGCTCCTTGCCTTGGCCACTTCATTGCTTGCAATCTCTCCAACAATCATGGAAGTGGAACTAGTCCGGATTTGGGAGTGAAACTTGCCACTTGGCACCTTTGGGTTGGGTTGCAAGTTCCTTGCGCATTGAGGCGCTAGTGGCTCTTTCTATGAGACCTCCTCGAATGGTGATAGGAGGCTGGCTGGCGAAGCTGCGAAGCAGGGAAGTCGGAAGCACATTTGATATGCTTTGGGTCATCGCACCTGACCTGAAGTGGACCGCTTGGGCGAACAGAATGGTATATACTATAGGCGGCCCTAGTAGTAACAAGTGCCACGCTAGTAGTAACAGGTGCCTTACTAGTAGTAACAAGAAGCTACTAGTAACAAGTGCATCGC